TACCAGTGCAGTCACTGATTCCTAGCCTTTCTGCTAATAACCTAATACCTCTCACTTTAGTCTTTCTTCCGTTTACCTAAGTCCTTTAATAAAATGATACCCCTCCGGATTGGAAAAATCGGACCCTTCCGGATTAACAAAATTTAGACCCCTCCGGATTGGGACCCCTCTGAGTTAGTAAATATAAGACCCCTCCGAGTTGGGACCCCTCCGAATTTGCAAATATAAGACCCCTCCGGATTCGGACCCCTCCTAATTTGAAAAAATTTTTGACCCCTCCGGATTGGGAGCCCTCTGGTTTTGTAAAAGTAGCTTTTCGGAGATTTCCTTCTTTCAACCTATACCCCTCCGGATACGTTCTCCGATGCAATTTTGCTTTTTCAATTAACTAGGAAGGGTATGTAATGCTTTCCTAGACCCTTCCGGATTGAAGTTAAGCCTCTTATTTGACAATTCACGCTTACGGTGAAGGGTCTTGTCGCTAGCCTAACTTCGGCTCGATTAAGGTTTTCCTGTGCCTTTAGCCTTCCCTTTTCGTCTAGAACAGCCTAAAATTACTTTGTTCAATCGCTATTACTCTTTGGTAGGGCTGTAAGGGCTTTTCTAAAAGAAATTTATAAAACGTGAAGGGTCTACCCTCCAAATTGGTGAATTTGCTAAAAACAATCTCAAAATCTTTTCACGCTTACTTTTTCGAAAAATTTCTGTCCCTATCATTAAACTCAGCTAATTACTGATCTATTGATACCAAGATCAACTCGATATGCCCAGTAGTTCCAAAGTTATTAACCAAAACGTCTTTTTTCTAAAGTAAAAAAATTTGTCTCTTATAGGTTCCGCCTTACTTTTTCCGCAATTCTGTTCTTTTCGACCTGAAAATTATTGATCCGAGTTCAGAAGGCCTTCACTCTTCTAGTTCAATGCAAAAGACCCGATCTAGAACGCTTTAGTTGAAAAAATTTTTGGAAAACTATGCTACCTGTACCCCTCCGGATTGATGAATCCACTAAATCAAACACGTTAAATTCCATTTGATTAATTTCTCTGCAACCCGGAATTTCTCTGCAAGCTGGAAGGCTTTCGGGAAGCGGGATTTAAAACTTGTAGATTCAAAAAATTTTCTGAATTTATAGTGTTTCGTTTTCTCAAAAATCACGAAAATACTATCTATTATGGTAGTGCAGTTACGATGTAACACACTACTTAAGCGCTTTTTTCTCTTTCAAAAATATCGATATCTCAAAAATCGCGACTTGTGGGCGGATCAAAATATCGCTATTTTGACCCTAAAAACCGGTCTGCTTTCTGTGTTTTTCACTGAAAAACGATATAGGAGTATTAATATAGGCTATATAAGTAATAATATTACTAATACTATACCCCTCCGGGTTTGTTTAATATCCGAATTAAGGTGCTTAACTCGGATAATCGCAGTTCGGTGAAGGATCACTACACTGCACCACAGTCGAGCCCCCCACAGATTACTATCTTAATTTTTGTACCAAAAGGGATACAAAACTTGTTAACGATACCCAACAGTCGATTGTTGTTGTCGTTGAGCCCCTTCTTGTTGCTCCTTGTACTGCTTGCCTGATCAGTCTTCTCCCAAGACCCTTCCGAATTGAGCGCAAATCAGCTGACCCTTCCGGATTGAGCGCAATTTATCATTAACGTGCTTAAATGCTCAAATAACCCTACAGTACAAGCCTCACAAACGGGCTACAAAATTGATTGTAACAATCCTGACTGATATAAATGCCTGTAACAACAATATATCTATCAACAACAAACGGGAGGGTCGGATCACATCTTGTCTGGGGGGATGATTGGTTATTTCCTTATGTTTTTGTTTTTCTTTTGTAATATACTACTTTTTGTTTGGTTTTATATATATATATATTTAAGTGTTTTTTGGTCACAAACCTCTCAGGAACGAGGGATTGGCCGATCCCCCCACCCTTCCTGATTCGTGAATTTTCTTAACTAGGTTAAAAAGCTATTCACGGTAATCTGGAAGGCTTCCGCGTTCCGAACTACCCTTCCACCCCGGCGGTTTAGGCCTATTACGTTAGCGGTGCTCGTTAACATTGTGCTCGTTAACGGTTCTGCCGGTCATGATGTTAAAAAAGAATAACACACAGGAGCGCCATAAAAACATCTATGTAACATTCGCCCGGAAGATACATATCGACGGAAAATAAAACTACGTCCTAAGACGACTGGCTAACGTCTAAACAGAGCGTTTTCTATTTCATCGGTCGTAAAGTGAATCTGATTTAGTAGGGTGCTATTTTGTTCGCCGATTTTCGTACAGTAGTTGTTTTGAGTGAACACTGATTGAAAGTATTCGTTGAATAATATTACTTTTACAGTATCTGTATTGGCAGTTCTTTGATCCAAAAAATTTTTGGTAGGGATAGTGTTCGACTTCAAGTATCTCTGTATGTCGCTGAATTTGCCTTCCTTGAAGAGCGTCATCTCATGTAGATGCTGGTCATTTTGAAGCGACAGGGTGAGCTCAGTTTGTAGACATTCGATTTTGATTTTGTTTGACGGCGTGGGCTGCCGTTGTTGTTTCAATTGAACTGTATTTAACTTCTTGATGAGGTTTGAAGAGTTGCCACTTACCCATGGAGCCAGTTCGGACCTATGTTTTGTAGTTATTGGAAGAAGATCCTTTAATTTTTCGTATAGCCACTTATACCAAAGTTCAACCATCAAGTCCACTTTGCTCATGCAGTATGGTCAGAAGGGATGTTGGAGAAAGAACTCATTGATTTCTTTCCAGTTAGCTTTCCTGTATGCAAATATACCGAAGTCTAGCTTTTGTTTGGGAGACGGCGAAGAGATATGTACAGGTCGGATGTCAAACGAGACTTTACCTTGATAAGGTTTGTGATCAGAATTGAAGAGACTTCTCAGATGGTTATAAATGACTACGCATGTCACATGCTGGGGTTTATTGCAGAAGAGAACATCCAGTGACCTTCCGTCCTGGGTTTTTATGAGTTGCTGAAAATTTGATTCACATAGTTCATTGAGGAATGTTTGCTCGAAGAGAGATGTTGACGTCATTGAGGGCCAGTGTGTTGATGAAAGATTGATGCCTCCAGCTATATATGAGCAAACAGCACTGTATTCGAACTGTTTTCGCCTAATGAACTTTAGGAGCTCAACGATGTCCGGAAGAGTCCATGTGTACGCACTGTTTCACGGGGCGCTGTAAAGACAACATATTAGTAATGTTTTATTTAAGCATATACGAATTATCACAGTTTTGAAAAATTGAGTCAATTTGAGAGCTTGGAATGTTTTTGCTTACTGCTATCAGTACACCGCCATGCTTTGTCAACCCTTTATCAGATAGTCTGTCTTTTCGATGTATCGCATAGTTGGTTAGAAACAGACCTATATCGCTAATGCTCTCTGTGAGCCACGTTTCTGTTAGGCAGATAATTTGATAAATATTTTTCACTTGAACGGCATTGGAGAAATTTGTTCGGCGTTGGTATTCAAGTATACTTCTCACATTGTAAATTAGTATATTTATGAAAGCTGCTAGTCATTCGTCCGCCACGGGAAGCTTCTCTTTTGTCCACTTTGCGCCCTGTCGAATGAACAGGGTTGCGTCACGAACACGCAGATTTTTCGGATCGGCGCCTTCATTTATCAGTTCTCGTCGTCTCACAAGAGCTAAGTTTTCAAGGTCAGCTTCATCTTTTGTCAGTTGTTTGCTGAGAAAGATTGGTTGAGTGAAAGTTTTCAGCTTTCTCGCCGATAGCAGTACCATTCGACGCTGATATGCATTTGGAACTTTCAACAGGATAGTTCTCAATTTGTTCTCTTCATATCGGCCAAATCTTATGACGTCGCCTATAATAGCATTGACTTCCATATGGGTTAGTAGTTTTTGAGCTTCTGCAAGGTCGTGTTCTTGGCGTACTCTTGCTTCTTTTTCCGTTGATTCTGGGATACCACGTATACGAATTCCATCGAGTTCTTTGGTAGGTTTCGGCATTTGTTCTTGTGATTTGGTAATCGGTTGGGCTGGTTGCCCGGAATCGGGCGGTTTCCTTGTGAGAAGCGTTTTGATTTCGGACACAGTTTTCTTGAGCTCAGTCATTTCGGTTTCAAGGTTTTTGACCTGACTTTCTTGATGTTCATTTGAGACCGTGTTCACATGGGCAGGTTGTGCTAGCTTTTCGTGGCGCTTCTCTTCGATACACTTGTTACAAAGAAGTAAGGCATTTTTTCCGATAGCCAGTACTCCATTAACAGCCGCTTCACTCGGGCCAGTAAAATTTTTAGTCAGATGCATTCGACAACCACAGACGAAGCAGTCGAATGAACTTTCATTCTTCAGGATTTTCTCATCACAGGTGAAGCATGAATCAGAGATTGATTTGACTCGATTTCGAGTGTTATGTTTAGACATCTTTGAGTGGCTCAGAGCCAGAGACTCAATAAGCGCACCTATGTAAAGAGTAAATCTAAAAACAACTTCAGTACTTATAGGGAGGGGCTCAGAGCCAGAGACTCGATAAGCACGCCTACCTGTTTAGTATTTTAGTCTTTTCGCCTCGCGTCTCTCTCCAGCTGATCTTCGCTTCGTACCACGTGTTTTGAAGATCCGTTTGTTGTTGGGGTAATAGTGCAGTACAGTGGCCAAAGTACGTAACTCAATGTCAGACTGCTGATGAAGTCTGCGATACTCAGCAAGCACCGATTCGTCGATTTGTTCAGACGCGCTGATAACGTGCTTTGTCACGTCAATGACGTAAGAGAAGTAGAGATAGAAAAATGTATATAAAGACAAATAATTTGAAATGAACTCAGCTGATTGTAGTTGGGATGAAAAATACAGCTAGTCTTCCAGACTGTAAGTCCACCCTGTTTAATCCTGAGTGTAATCCAGAGAGTATCGCTGTGAATAAATTTTTCAACAATTTCACTATTGGGACCACCACGGCTGCCCCATGCATTCATTTCAATAACTGAAACTATTTAATAAGTTTGTTAATCACGAACTCATTACGAAAAGGAGGGTCAGAATGTGTAAATTCAAACAAACGTTTTCGCACATTTTTGTGCATCTTCAGGTTTTAAAAATTCTCAACTATCTGTAGAAGATGATCATAGATCATAAAAAGTGTCATACACATCATTATTTCAAAATTTAAATATTGTGACTTTTGACCAGAATTGACAAAAAGACTGTTACGAAGGGCTAGCAGCTAACCTTCCGAATTAGCAGTTTTAGAGGATTAACAGTCTTATTCAGACGATTAGACAAATCGTGAAGGCTGAAGGATTCGGAAATTCTTAAATTTTAAAAATTCGAATTGTGACGTCACACTTCTGAGAAATGTCAAAAACGGCCGTTTTTGGAAGCAGTAACGTTTTTGTCGACCCGATGTTAGAAAGACCACCAAAAGATCTGGCTTTGATAGAGACGGTTAAAAGCATGTAGAGCCTAATTTAGACGCTGGCCAATCGTTTTATAGCTTAGCTTTATTTTCCGTCGATATTTACTTCCGGGTGAATGTTACATAGATGTTTTTATGGCGCTCTTGGGTGTTATTCTTTTTTAGTATCATGACCGGCAGAACCGTTATCGAGCTTAATAGGCCCTAACGGACGGGGCGGAAGGGTAGTTCGGAATGCGGAAGACTTCCGGATTCCCGTGAATAGCTTTTTAACCTAGTTAAGACCGAAAACTCACGTTCCAGGAAGGGTGGGGGGATCGGCCGTCCCCTCGTTCCCTGAGAGCTTTGTGACCAAAAACACTGAGAGGTTTGTGAGCACAAGATATATAAAAACCAAACAAAAAGTAGTATAGTAACCAAGAAAAACTAAAAACATAAAAATTAACCGAAAAAACCAAAAACAGTAAAAAAAAAAAAAGTAAAAAATCAGTAGAAATCATCCCCCCAGACAAGATGTGATCCGAACCTCCCGTTTGCTGTTGATAGATATATTGTTGTTACAGGCAATTATATCAATCAAGATTGTTACGGTCATTTATGTGGCCCGTTTGTGAGGCTTGTACTGTAGGGTTATTTGAGTATTCAAGCACATTAATATTAATTTGCGCTCAATCCGGAAGGGTCTCGGGATTAGTAAAGAAGACTGATGCGGCAAGCAGTACAAGGAGTGTTAAAAGGGGGCTCAACAACAACAACAGTCGACTGTTGGGTATCGTTAACAAGTTTTGTATCCTTTTTGGTACGAAAAATAAGATAGTAATCTGTGGACGGCTCGACAGTGCTGCACTGCAGTGACCCTTCATCGAACTGCGAATTTCCGAATTAAGCACCTTAATTCGGATATTGGACAAACCCGGAGGGGTATATTATTACTAGTATTATTACTTATACGTCCTATATTAATACTCCTATATCGTTTTTCAGTGAAAAACACAGTATGCGGACCGGTTTTTAGGGTCAAAATAGCGATATTTTGATCCCCCCACAAATCGCGGCTTTTGAGATATCGATAACTTTTGATACGGAAAAAACGTTAAGTAAGTGACTTACATCGTAACTGTGCTAGTACAATAGGTAGAACCGATTCAGTTTAGTTCAGAAGTGGTTGGAACTATTTTGGTACCAAAAACCGAATTTTCGTGATTTTTGAAAAAACGAAACGCTATAAAATGAGAAAATTTTTTGAAATTTTTCAGTTAGGACAGTAAAAACAGTTTTCGGACAACGTCCACTAGTGAATCGACAGGTTTTAAAACCCGTTTGCCGATAATATTCCGGGTTACAGAGAAATCGAACTTAACGTGTTTGATTCAGTGAATTCATCAATCCGGAGGGGTCTAAATAGCATAGTTTTTGCAAATTTTTTAAGCTAGAGCGTTTTAGATCTGGTTTTTTGCATTGAACTATCAGAGTGTAGGCCTTCTAAGTTCGGATCAATAACTTTTAGGTCGAGAGGAACAGACTTGCGAAAAAAGTCAGGCGGAACCTATGATAGAGAAATTTTTTGACTTTAGAAAAAAGACGTTTTGATTAAGAACTTTGGAACTACTGGACAAATCCAGTTGATCTTGATACCATTAGCTGAATATACTAATAAAAACATCAATTTTTCAAAAAAAAAAATAAGTGTGAAAATTTTTTAGGATTGTTTTTAGCAAATTCACCAATTCGGGAAGGTAGACCCTTCACGTTTTATAAAAAAAAGATTGGATAAGGCAATTTTACGATGTTCTAGAAGAAAAAGGAAGTCTAAAGGCATAATAAAACCTTAGTCGAGCCGAAATAAGGCTAGCGATAAGACCCTTCACGGTTAGGGTGAATCGTCGAAGAAGAGGCTTAACTTCAATCCGGAAGGGTCTAGGGAAGGACGACACACCCTTCCTAGATGATTCAAACAGCATAATAGTATCGGAGAACGTATCCGGAAGGGTATAGGTTGGAAATTTAGAAAGCCTCTGAGAAGCTATCTTCACAAGCCCGGAGGGGTCCCAATCTGGAGGGGTCTAAATTTTTACAAATCCGGAGGGGTCCAATCCGGAGGGGTCTAAATTTTTACAAAAAAGGAAGGGTCCCAATCCGGAGGGGTCGCAACTTTACCGATCCGTAGGGGTCCAATTTTGTTAATCCGGAGGGGTCCGATTTTTGTCAATCTGGGTGGGTATTTTTTTTGTCAAAACTTAAGAGGACAACAGAAAAAAAGTAGTTGAAGTTATTAGGTTATTAAGAGATAGGCTGCAAACCAGTGACTGCAATGGTAACTTGCCTTTTGTAAAAAAACAAAACCAAAACAAAACAGGTCTAAACTCGAAAATTCGCGACACTAAGTCTAAATTGATCAAGAGTCTGTAACTCATTAGTGTGGACTGAAATTCAAAACGTTTTTCAGAAAAGTGATTGCCTTGAGGATTTTAGTAGGTCTAGCTCGGGCAGTCCGAAGGCAGATAGGTAACACAGTACTCGGTGGGTGCAATAGAAGCCCACTTGAGAAAATTACTGCCTTCAAAGTTTTGTCTGTTTGGTGCAGCACCAAGCAGGGAAAGCTTTTTCTTTAAAAGACAAGTTCGACTATTGTACTGCGACCGACTAAAAGTACAATACACATACGTTTTTTTATAGAGGTATTCATATTCTGTCATGATATATTTTTTTTTGTTTTTTTATTTTAGGTCTACATAAACTGTGCTTGATTGGGTAGTGAGTACACTATCTTTTAAATTGACTGATATCATCATACTGTGCTAGATTTACATCTTACAACTAATAATCGATTATTGTGAATAAAGTGTATATACGCTGTATCGTGATGGCATACAAGGATTCGTGGTCACTATTTAATAGAAACGTTTGCAATTTATTGTGTTGTGTTATTATTATCAGTAGTCAGATCAAAAGGACACTAGTAATCGAATTGAGTGTATAGGCAGTAAGAAGTGGTAAATTGAATATGAGTCTAGATAGGTCAGGGATATCTAAACTAGGTGATAGCTCCAGGAAATTCATACCTGAGAAACAGAGAAGAGCTAGGAGCGACCCTTTTGTTGAAAGGATCATACGAACCCGGACCGACAATGGGGAGACGGTTTCAGGCAGAATAGTTGTGACCAGGAGTCAAAAGTCCTCAGAAGAGCAAAAGGAAATGCTAGAAGTGGAGTTCCATCAGGACCAAGCCATGGATGAGAATCAGGAAGTACATGGACCGGAGGGTAGAGGAAACAGAAGGCTGGCAAGTGAATCTACTCCGGTAAAACAAGGCCACGATTTTGCCACTTCCACCGGGACTCTGGACCGAGAGGAGATGTCGGAACTGTCCAACATCTCTACTGAAATTGTGGCAACTATAAGATCTCCCACAGACAACACCATAATGGCAGGCGTGACAGAGAAACAGGCAACGTCCTCATCGTTTTCAGAAAGAGTGAAGAACACTTTTGGAAACATCTTTCCATTCAATATGGGAGTGGCTACAGGCGATGAAAGTGAATCCCAGGAAGAAGAAGAGGACAATGAAGAGCAAACTGACTTTGGATCTCAAGTCAGCCTCAATAGTTCGACTCAGGAGAATGAAGCATACTTCAACAGAGGGACTGGTACCATGGACCAATTTGGTGTAGTGAGGACAATAAGCAAAACCACAAACACATCAAGCCAGGCAAGAGAATCTGTAAGTATGACGAATTCGGAAATGCGAACTGGGGAGAATAGAAACACAGGGCTAAGCAACGCACAGGCGGAACTAGAGGTGGATAATGAAAAGACGTCGAGGCAGAGAATCATAGCCCGAATCTCGACCAGCACCAAACTACCTAGGATCTGCAGGATGACACCGCCACTTGTGACGCCACTAGTGGATAACGGAGCATCAATTGAAGAAGCCTTGAACAACATAGTGGGCAGTATAGGAGAGCAAAATGAACAGATGTCCATAAGAATGAGTGAACTAGAGAGAGCAGTCCACGTTGAAAGAGAAAGTCTGCGGGAAGAAATCAACCGCAATAGACAAGAAATTGGTAGAAGCAAAAAACGCTTGAAGGAAATAACGGATGAACACATAGCGAAGAACTTGTCGCGAATGACAACAGAAGCGGAACAGAGAGAGTTACGGTTAAGAGACGACATGGAGAAGTTAAGAACTCAGCAAGAGCAGACTCTTGGGACTCTTGACACAAAGATAGATGCGATGATGGAGAGGCGAACTCATGCTATTATGGACAGGTTGGACGGGCTACTAGGCAGCAGGAGTGGACCAAGAGAAGGGGAACCGAACTCGGGAGGTACCAGCAGGGAGCCGAAGGTGAACTTAAATGATCAACAAAATAGGAGAAGAACACTTGGCTCCACTAGAGGTAGGGGCAGTTCAGCAGGCTATACAACAGGGGATAATAGAACATGGAGCCCAAACTTCAGTGGAAGTTCAACTGGCAATAGAAATACTTCAAACGAACGACCGACGCAAGCACACATGCGACTGGGACAGGTGATTCCAGGAACAGGAGTCATGCAAGCCCAGGCATGAGTCATGCGAGCCAAGG